ATAATATTTCGTGGATTTATTCTGCGCATACATTTTCCAAACAAGACTTTATAAACGTGAACGGTTCGTCTTTTTCGAACACTCGCGTTAGTGAAAATATGCTTAGTGCGAGTTTTTTAACGTTCTCGATCGCGTAAAAGTTAACTCACATTTGTATGGAGTTGTAACAGTGCCCCCCGCGGTAGCCGTAGGTAAACGTTCTATATAACTTTTACGCTATCGAGAACTTTAAAAACTCGCACTAAGCACACACATATATTTTAAATATAACGCTGAATTTGCGGCCGGGCTAAAATTGCGCTCATTCATTGATAAATCGTTGAAAAATTGGCGCGACGAACAATTTTAAGCAAGAATTCAGTATTTATTAAATCATTAGAAAAAAATAAGGAACCAAAAAAAAATTCCATTGCTCTAACAATCAAAATATTAAGTGTAGCTTCAATGGTTCAGTTTTTTGATCTGTAGAGCTTCGAAATTGTTAACGTTATCGGTTTTACGCTTTTTTTTTAAATAATCTTAAGACAATCGCGTTTAAAAATTTCGAAGTTCATATCAAATACATTTTTTTTTTCTGTACTAACTTTTGTTTTTTTTCTTTAAGTTACAGCCTGTTCACAGACACCCCAAAAAATCAGAATTACTTTTCGTCCCTTATTTTTTCCACTATAGTTGTTTGGTGGAATGAAGATCTCTTTTTAATATTAATACAATGCCAAATATCATCATCATCATCATTGTGACGTATAAGCTTTACTTATTAAATCGCACGTGCACTTTTCGCCATATAAAGCCACCAGAGAAGAATTATAAAGTGCAAAACACGCCATTATTAATTANACGGGTGTTTTGTGCTAGTTTGCGAACGAATATCTGTCCTGAGATTTATGTGTGGGTGTTTTTGTTGTGTGCGAAATACTTGTAATCACAGTGTGTGTATGTGTAGAAATTAAAATAGTGGGGATGAAGCGGCGACACTGGTTCTAATACAAAATTAGAGCAAAGGCCTTTCCAACCTTATTTATCTATTCCGTGCTTTAAGGTTTGCGCTTTAAGGCTTAAAGATTTAAAATTGAAACTGAAGGATTACAATTTTTCAATTACATTTTTGGCGTTTACCAAAAATCAAGGATTTTGGATTAGGCCACTTCGATTCTAATGGTGAGAAAAGATGATTTAGGCATAGCTTTTGTTGATATATGTACATGGTGTTACTTTTTATTATGAATATTAGTTACTAGAGATAGCTACCGTGTTGTATCTGTTGCATCGTTAGTCAGCTTTTAATGCGATCTGAGGAGACAGATCATAGCCAATTTCAAAGACAAAGTTCTGATGCTTCAAGGGACGGATCGGTTTAGCAGCCCGTGCTGCGTGGTTTATTGTGAGCTAACCAAGCACCCTATATAACAACAAATCGCAATTTTTGTAATCAAATCCTATATGGCTCAAAGAAGGGGTTTTAATCACGACGATAACACCACGTACATCCCTAGTTAATGCAATTTGAAGAATAAAAGACACGCAAAGGCAAGACGTAGAAGAAAGATTTAGAAATACTCGAAGAGGGAAATGTTAGGGTTTTTTTTTTAACTCTTATTTATTATTTAATATCTAAGGCTCTCCTGATATGCACACGCTTTGTATACAAAAATAAACGGCTCTGTAAATTCACAACAATATAAACTAGTTACATCGAGAACTTTCGTAACGGGACGGTGCAATGCGAGAACGTGCCAGCCCCTGAAGTCACAAACATATAATTTTCATTCATTAAATCATTAATTAATAATTAACACTTTCGACATGCAACAGACTTATAGGACTAAGCATATACAACCTTATCTTGGTTCCTTTTTGCATGCGACAAATTAAAATATGTTTTTAAAAAATTATTTTATTGCTTAGATCAGTGGTCGGGGAACCGGGGTAAATTACCCCAAATGGGGTATAATGAAATTTTGGGGGGTAAAAATGAAACTTTTGTGAGTAAAAAAAAAATTGAAGTGAAACTTCTTTAGAATCGTTAAATTCTTAGTTATTGTTTTCTTTTCAAAATTATCATGGGGACTATAACATGAAAGATACTAAAAAGAAGCGATTTCGTTTTTTTTTTGTTCTTCGCCATGGGGTAATATCGACTTACACAAAAATATTTTGGGGTAATATCTAAAAAAGTTCCCCGACCGCTCGGTTAGATGGACGGTCGAGCTCACGACCCACCTGGTGTTAACCGCTTACCAGAGCCCACAGGCATCTACAACGTAAATACCGACACTCACCTTGAGATATGAGTTCTAAGGTCTCAGTATAATAAAGGCTGGAACATTTTCGCACGACCTCTCCGAGCTGTGCAGTATTTTATTTTGTTCTACGTCACATCTTAATGTAATATTTCATTACGAACATCTGCTTTTCCACAACTCAAACATCTTACAATGCATATATAACATAACATATATCATATATCAACCTATTTGGAAATGTTTTTTTTTTAAATTTGTTTAGCCTCTAAATGCTCAGTTTTTTGTGTGTAATGGAAATATTTGTTCAGATTTGAGAGGAAGAGAGACCGCTGGAAGATTGTGACTGTAGTCACTCCTGGAGTGGGCGTTGCTCGTAACCTGGTAGAGAGGTTTCTCATTAGAAGCCTTCAGTTTTAATACCATCGTATTAAAAAACATCGTATTAAATACCATCGTATTAAAACTGAAGTTACGATGGCATTATGCATTTCCCAGTCTCTTCTATGAGTATGACCCCCAAAGTCTACAAATTCCTAGTTTGATCTGTCTTATCATTCGAGTCTTGTTGTATCTTGTCTATGTTGTATACATTTAAAGGCTAAACTACAAGTGTCTGCGTCGCGCCTTCAACGTTACGTGTGTGATGCGTTACCTACATAACATGAATAATATTTAAATTTTCTATTATAATATTGTCTTAACATGAACCTCGTTTTTAAAGCGGTGGACTAACACTCGTAAAGATAACGAGTTCCATTTAAAGTTTATCGAATGATTCTTTGCTAGACGTACCAAGGACCTGATCACCGACCCGGATATCAAAACAATACGCAATTTTTTTTATTGTCTCGGTATACTGGTGACCCATTTCCGCGTTCCCTGCGAAGGACTTTTTTGCCGCAATTTCAAGGCGACTACTTGTTATCAGATAGACCGTAAGCTTGCCTGCGCACGATGGCGATAAAAAAATAGCTTATGNGAATGATTCTTTGCTAGACGTACCAAGGACCTGATCACCGACCCGGATATCAAAACAATACGCAATTTTTTTTATTGTCTCGGTATACTGGTGACCCATTTCCGCGTTCCCTGCGAAGGACTTTTTTGCCGCAATTTCAAGGCGACTACTTGTTATCAGATAGACCGTAAGCTTGCCTGCGCACGATGGCGATAAAAAATAGCTTATGGCCTATCTGATGGTGAGTGAGCTCAAGGTCAACCGCTACCTATATATTCCGTCAAGATGAAGTTTGTCTGAAAGCTCCTTCAAGTAGAGTTCAATGACCGCGAGTACTCGTAAAATGTAGTCCAGTGTTTGGTGGGTGCCGTTTAGACTGAAATGAATAATTTAAGTTACTTTTGTCGATTTAATGACGTCATAACAGTTCTCGATAAACTCTCATGGAACACGCTGTATATATTATAAAGCTTGACACTCTGCACTACTGACTTATATTAATATTATACTAAAGTAATATTGCGATTTCCTCAACGCACCAGTCTCTATACAAAACGTACGTATTAAAATATACACGCATAGTTTCCTTAGCTTAATGATAGAATGACGAAAAAAAAAAAAACATTATTAATTTATGGAAAACAATAAATCACAGTGTCGAATCACGATTACGTTAAATAAAAATGTCATCGACGTAACGTTACAATGAGATCGCAAAATGTATTGCCGTACGCTAATAATATATATCAAAATAAATTAATCTACCGTCACATTATTCATTATTCGCTAAACAACTTGAAAACACGACAAACGGATAAGCAAAACTTTTTTCTAAAAATTGTTTTGTACACTGAATACAATATCTAAGCTTCCGTTTTGATAATAACAATTAAAAACTTTGTATAAATATGTATATCAAAAAAAGGTAAATGCAAGCAATGTTTTTATTTACATTTTACAATCGAATAAAATAGAAAAAAAAAGATCTTGGCGGAAAATCATTGTGAGTCATGATTCATGTAACGCGTTGACATTACGAAAAAGTGAAAATTTTACAAAACTAAAGTTTTTTCTCTCTCTCTCTCTCTCTCGTTGGTGGTTAAAAGCTTAAATGTAGATCGAATTATTTTCTCATTATGTTATATTAAGCATGACAGTAGCTTTTACCGGTAGGCATTTCGGTTTTTACCAAATTCTTTCCATCTTCTTTTTTCTTTATGATTGAGGTTTTACTGGTGGCCAGGAGGCCTTTCCAGTTTCACAAGGACAGGTGGGCGAGGGTTCAGTCAGAAGGGACGGGATTTGCTAACAGCTACCCGAGCGCCTCCAAGAGAGACTTAACACCTCAAGAGTAGCTGTTTCGGGAATGAATCTACTACCGGATCGGAAGTTTCCCATCATCAAGAGAGCGCAGTATTCAGAATTTTGAACTAGTCGATTAGTACTAAAAACATTAGAAATCGAAACCACGCCTTACGAATCCCTTAGCCTTCGAGTTTCATTATGAGAAAATATTTCGTTTCAATAACTTACAAAGTAACAACAGGCTCTGCGGCCTTCAACCATTAGTCACTCTATCGCACCGATTCGACACACATACACGTTTGTCCTTTTAATTATTAACCAAATTGATATGTCACACATTACCCTTTCGCCAATTAAACAAACAAGTCTGATGAATTTTATTATCTGTGTCGATGGTCAGGTCTCGTCGCGAACTGTCAACGTCAAATTGACACAACTGTCAGTGGTGTATTTAAGGTTCTCGTTTGATTAATCTCGTGGTAGGTATATTCTTTTCTGGATATTATTACCAACCAGTCCCGTCGCGCGGTTTCGGAATGTAAAACGTTCCATTTTCCGCGAAATAAAGAGTTACCTTTGTCACACTCTCGGGACCATAAACAACCGGTCGACTTGAAAATCCGTTGTTACGTAAATTAAGAAACCATCGCAAACATTTTCGAATTTGTTACAGCAATTATGTCACTTATGCAATGTCACTGCGCAAATACAAACTGCGCAAACTCTCTTTTGTGCGAAATATCATTGAAATCTGTTAGGGACTAATTGACATTTTTTTTTCTTTTTCTTGTAGTATAGAAAACCAGATCATAAGTTTTAGATAAAAAGTTTAGTTTGAAAATCTTTCAACATGGAAGCCTTTGCGCCGCGAATAAAGGAAACTAGTTTAGTTTATTTTAAAAAAATCTGATAGATAGACAGACTTCGTACAAAAATGTTAAGACCATCGACATTTTGATTCAGTAACAACAAAGAAGACAGATGCACGGGTATTCGCGAACTGTTCCCTTCGTTCTTTTCCAACAACCATAAAATACCACAAGGAACCAAGAACCATAAAGCAGTCTACCGTTGAAATGTTTATGCAAAACTGAAACAGGCATCGATGACGTCATCTGCTTTAAGAATGACCCAAGATCATGATGAGAATCCTGAATCGGTGCGATACAGTATCCTAAGGTTAAGTATGGACGAGAATCAAACCCTCCTCGGCTTCCCCGGGCCCGGGCACTCCGTCGACCTGATGATCGAGCCGCCGAACACCTCCCGCGGTCGAATCGGATCCATTTCCATGAAGCCCGGATTCAGAATGATGTTAGGCACTAGTTCAATTAAATCCTGATCGTCCCCGTAATCTATTAGGTTTAGTTAGGTTATGTTAGATACGTACCGTCACCGTGTGCGTGTTTGTTTGTTAGTGTGCGTCCCCGCAGTCCAAGCGTGCGATCCAAGCGAGTGCGATAGAGGGGAAAGAAGAAAAAATCGAATGAATAAAAAACTTTCACTTACGTAACATACTCGGCATATTAAATAAAATATGCGGACATGCGTTCAAATAAGACGTTTTAAACTCGCTTCCACATTAATAAAATGGTCAAGTGAACCAAGGGCTTAATGCTAGTGTGCTGAATGCTATTCGAAAAAATATGTAAAAGCGAGTTCAAATATCTATATATCAGCAAATTTAAATCATCATTAGGCTGATAAATGAAAAAATCAGAACGTTTTCTGGAAGCACGACTCGTCAAAACTGCTTTGAAAACGCGATATTATACACTACTGAAGCGTATCGATAAAAATAGATACTAAAAATATATTAGCTAGGTTATTATAATAAGAATTAAAAGCTGAAAGTTTTAACTAGTCTAGTTAGAACTAAGTAATTAATGTATCTTTTAAATGTCAATCTGTCTCTATAGTCTTATATGCGTTTGATCGCAGTGTTGCTAGCGTATCGAACGTACACAAACTGTGTAGTCTGACAACACAAATTAAATGTCACTTCTTATTAAGACCGTCAAGGGTTGTATAAAATAAAAAAGAAACTTCTCGACTGAACCTATTCGATTATTACAATAATTATTCGAGAAACCTTATTTATTATACGTCTACTAATATCTGGATAGATTTTCCTTTACTGAATCTAAATTAATTTTTTTAAAGTAATTTTTCCATTTTTTTTAGAAAACACTATTAAGCAACTACTCATAGGTTATGTAAATTTAATTAAACATTCTATTTTTATTTTTAGCTATGAAACTTATTATTATTATTAATAAATCTGCCTGTATTTTCGAAGGAATGTATTAGTAGTAGCATAAAAACAACATTTTTCAAGTTGTAATTCGATACAGCTCTTTCTCAATGCCTTGTGATTTCATTAGCGTATGACAGCCGAAGCAAAATTATAATAGAAAAAAATATATCGATCTAGCAAAAATGTCTTTTACTTTTCAACCGACGTAAAAAAAGTTTTTAGTTCGATTGTTTTTATATGTAGATCGGTTTGTACAGGCATTTGTTCAATGTTGATGTAATTATTTAACCGAATTATAAAAGGAGGTGGTTATTAATTCGATTTTTTTTTCAAGTGCTTTGCCACGGAACTTTTTAGGGGAACCGATTTGACGATTCTTTTTTATTTTAAAAACTATTGCTTCTCGTGTGGTCTCATTTACATGCTATCGAGATCTGATCAGCAGTTTTGAGTTAGCCTTAATAATACATAATTAATTGAGTTCATCTACATTGATTATATTCTAATTTTATTTTGTGAAGTTAGTTTTTTTTTTGTAAACAAAATGTTGTTATTTTAATGTATCCTTCACGAATGAGCCCTCTATTGTAACACACTACTTAATATTATTGATATATTTATGTCAAAAAGTATTTTTAACATTTACCCTAATGAATTGTAGTTTGCTTAAATGCATTGTTGAAGTTTATTTAGAAATTGTTAATTGACGCTCCGTAGCATTGTTGGTCCGTATTTTCGCATTCTATCTTAAACTAATTATAGCTTTTAGTGTAAATATTATTTTTATAATAAATACTTCCAGTGGTACATAATTATTAACCTTAAAAATTTAATAAATGAAATAGAACATAGTTTTTGCGAAACTCTAACGTCAGTAACGTCAACTGTCTATTTGACATAACCTGGAAATTTTGTTAGTAAAATTAGCAAACGGACAAAAATCGTTTCCACAGATTATTCAATCAGTACCGGTAAAATGGGGCGATTAGGGATTGACAGGCGAATCGGGAAAAAACCGGGAAAATCTTTCGACGCTCAATATAAGTTTTATATTCGTTGCAAAATCTTTCATTTTTTGTAGTTTAATAATAGAATGTTGAAAGTTCACAAAACAACTCTGAATATGCATGATAATAGCTGCTAACTTATAAAAAATCGCGTTTTAAATTAACTTCCTGTGGTGGTCATTATTTTAGTGCTAGAAACTTTGCTCTCTTTTATTTATTTGATAATAATAGAAGACGACTATGATTTATAAACGTTATTTAGTGTTTGAACCAGCATATATATTAAAGGTAAGTCTCAGTTGTTATTGGTTTTAATGTATTTGATTAAATAAAAATACATGTAAAAATCTGTTGTTTTTGNCATTACTACTTCACGGCAGAAACAGGCAGGGTGGTGGTACCCACCCGCGCGGACTCACAAGAGGTCCTACCCCCAGTAATTACGCAAATTATAATTTTGAGGGTTTCATTTTTATTACACGATGTTATTCCTTCACCGTGGAAATCAATCGTGAACATTAAAATTTGTTGAGTACGTATTTCATTACAAAAATTGGTACCCGCCTAATATTCGACTACCGGTGCATCGCTCAACACCGGACGTCTTATCCGTTCGGCCACGACGAGTTTAAAAATATAAAAAAAAAAATTTAATAAACAATATAAAATATAAAAATTCCGGCGTTCATTTTTCGCGGCGAAAACAACTAAACCATAGATTATACACTTAATTGAACTAAACTCATTTAATCACTGCACTATTCGCCGCGACTACCGCTCGACTCCGTGGCTTGCGCCGTCCTTATTCATGCATTTGTGTTGCTCGCCCGCCGCATCGTAAGTCGCCCGCGCGATTCGCTCGGTACATTTCGCCGGTCGCTTCGCCGGTCGCCGGTGCGCGTGGCTTGTTAGGTACATTTCTGTAACAGCCTGGCCACGGGACATTCGCCGATACGAATATTCGCGCGGTGCGAACGGCGAAGCGTCTAGCGACTAAAATAATAGCATAGCCGGAGTCGAGCGGTAGTCGCGGCGAATAGTGCAGTGATTAAATGAGTTTAGTTGTTTTCGCCGCGAAAAATGAACGCCGAAATTTTTATATTTTATATTTTTTATTAAATTTTTTTTTTTATATTTTTAAACTCGTCGTGGCCGAACGGATAAGACGTCCGGTGTTGAGCGATGCACCGGTAGTCGAATATTAGGCGGGTACCAATTTTTGTAATGAAATACGTACTCAACAAATTTCAATGTTCACGATTGATTTCCACGGTGAAGGAATAAAATCGTGTAATAAAAATGAAACCCTCAAAATTATAATTTGCGTAATTACTGGGGGTAGGACCTCTTGTGAGTCCGCGCAGGTGGGTACCACCACCCTGCCTGTTTCTGCCATGAAGTAGTAATGCGTTTCGGTTTGAAGGGTGGGGCAGCCATTGTAACTATACTTGAGACCTTAGAACTTATATCTCAAGGTGGGTGGCGCATTTACGTTGTGGATGTCTATGGGCTTCAGTAACCACTTAACACAAGGTGGACTGTGAGCTCATCCACCCATCTAAGTAATAAAAAAAATATATAGCTGAAATACTAGCTAGACCAGCTATTTGGAAGTCTAGCCACCCAAAGTATTTCTCGTACTTCTTGTGGAATTCTCCATCTATAGGTATACTCCGATTCTTATTCAAATCATGTACTTCACTATCTTTTCCAAATAATAGGTCCTGAACCAAAAAACTATTAATTTGTAAGCAATATCGAGATAATTTCGATATAATAGACATTTCGCTGTCGGACTTCCTTACTAGTCGCGGCGGCGAACGTGAGTACCCGTGGCCTGCAAACGGTGCTGCGCGAATGGTCGCCTCGTCCACCGCTTCGCTGTTCGCACCGCCGATCCCCGTGGCCAGGCCGTAAGAGTGAGTTTACCTTTGTTCCTTGACTATTACCATCTAACTATCGATGGATTCATTTCTTTTAACAAAATAATGCGTCCAAATTAAAAAATTCTGCTATTTAAAAAAAGGGTAAAAATCTTTTCATTTCGTTATTAAATAATAAATTGATAGTTTTTTCTAAATAACCAAAGACAACGATGTCGTAATAACAGTAAGATGGCAACGTCTTAATTGGTCATATATTTTATTAAAATGCCATCATAGATAAATACAGTTGATATTTAATGCCATTAGGATTACCGGTTAGATTTCAACATGTACACAGAGCTTTGGAATGGTAACGCGGCAACAATTGTTGAAGACCCTGGAGAATATGTGTGGGGCGATCTCTGGCTTATAAACAACAGCGATTTGAAGAGCCTTGACGAGTGAGAATTTGTTTTCTACACATGGAGAGTAAAGGTAAGGAGTACCATCTTGTATAGGGGACAAGTTGAAAAAGTGTCCATCTGTAAACAACAAATTATAGTTCGAAAACTCACCGAATTAGCGCTAGTGTAGCAAGGGGAAATGGTAAGAATATAGAAGTTATAAGCTGAGTGAAGTCTGCTGGATTGCAGTGAAGGCTATGTTCCGATTTACACTGCGAGCACTGTTCAGTGCTCTTACAGCGGAGATATTCCTTACGTTAAGGACTAACAGTATACAGTCGCAGTAACTTAAGAAAATGCATGATTTCATAAATCTTCACTTCATCACTTTTACCGTGCATAGCCCTATTTCAATAATACGGTTATTAAGTTATTATACCTACATTAAATTGCTTGAAAAACATTTTTTTTTTACTAAAACGCATACTTACTTTCAGCGATTAATTCAACTGACAATAACTTGAATGTTCTATTTTCAAATATAACTAAATTTAAACAAGATTTTTTTGCTGAAGTGAAAACCCCGCCATGACAACGTCGATGACAATAAACTGTACTGTAAAGGAACGACTTCGCAATATACTAATTTGACGTAGCACTTCCAGTGTTCGCAGTGCAAATCTGAATATTCCAGAAGTGTGGTAGTTTATGATGCTGTTTTTAAAATCTTGCCACTTGCTACTATGTCGTCATCTTAATTTGCTGTCAATCAATAGACACTTTTTAATATACTGTGATGGTTCTCCTTACCTCTACCCTCCC